AATCAAGGTCCTATAATTGCCTTCAAATCCTTCTAAATTTTCAAGTGCAATGTCAAAATACTAAAGAATATTATTCCAACTATTTCTATAACAGCAAAGGCCAGAACATTTGGGGGAAAAAAAGGGGGGGGAAGTGTAAATTATTTTATAGTGAAAACTGATGATATTTGAGAATTTTATATTCGAGTCAATTGCTGGGAAAACGCTTACTTGAAAAAAAAAGAAAACGTTTTATTATTCATAGTAATTTTGCTTTTGCTAAGAGCTGTTTCATCAATAGGCTTTATAGCATTAACCGTGTTTATTTTCAGATTTGAATATTGCATAATAATGAATAAAGTTTAATTGACAGCGAAAATAAAAAGTTTTATTTTAATGTTATTTTTAAATATATTCAATATTACCATTATTTAATGAAATTTATCAGTGTTATATGTTTAAAAAAATCGTTGAAAATCTCAGATTGGAATTAAAATTTTCTATAGAAACTGATCTTAAAAGCCAAATCTGACAGTCGCCAAATTTAGAACGTTAATAAAAAATTACATCCCCAAAAGCGAAAATGTTTAAGAGCCTTTATAACAAAAAATAATTTCGAAATGCGATTTTCACTTTGCTTAGAAACTCGAGTATCCCATCATTTATATTAGACTAAACAAATAAACCCATGAAGAGATTCAAAAGATAACCCTATATGTCAGTGAACGTAAAGTATCCTCCAAATGCTAATTCACACTCGAATGGCAGTTGTAAAAACAGACAAAATTTCGTGATTAAATTAGGACCTTCTACTGATTTGGCCAAAATTAAGGACTTTTAAGGACCAAAATTGAATCACAAAATTAAGGACGTTTAAGGACCTTAAGGATTATACGACCTGAACAAAGTTCTTACTCTTATATATTTGAGTCTAATTTTGCAAGGGAAGTTGGTAATTTATTTATTAGGATAATTAATTGTATTAGGGATATTGCTATTTCATTGTAATTTTGTTATACATAATACTTCTTTTTATGAAGTTGTTCTGCAGAGTAAAATTCTGAGCAGTTTTTAAATTTAACGTTTGGTGTTCCCTTAAGCCATTTTTCCGGTACATTTAAAAGCCAGATGAAGGCTGGCAGCGAAGCTGCTAGTTTTGAATAAAAATTGCCCTTTTCAATACTTTTATTTAATAAAACACAAAACATAAAATAACAGCTTTTCTTTAAACTGAAAATTAGTATTTATAAGCAAACAATACAACCACTAACAACTTCCGATGCAGTTCACCTGCGTAATTTTTCAAAAAGCAAGAATTTTCTACAGTATAAAGTTATAATATTACAAACTGTTTCGATTCCGATTCTCTCACAAAAATGAAGTGAAAGTTAGTTCATTATCTTATAGCTACTGGAAATAATTTTTTTTTAAATGCTACTGTATGCTAAAACAAATTAATACAATAATTTTTTTTAATGTTAAAAGACACAAAGGGAAACAGGCATGCTGCTTCTGTGATAATGCAAAATTATAAAAAAATTCAAAAAAATGAAATTTGCAGAAATGATAAAACAAATAAGCATGCTAAAAATTTATAAAAATGATATAAACAAATAAAATAAGCATTTTACAGGTAAAATAATTGAAAATTACCAAGTTTTGATTCCATTTCAATGGCAGACTTCCAAGATTATTTTTGTTATATTACAAGTTTTATTCAGGTGAAAGAGAAGAATTACAATGAAAAATTAATTTTCCAGAAAGTTCATTTTTAAATTAAAAAATAAACATAAATTTATAAGTTTTTGAATTAATATAACACATTTTATACAGTCAAGTCGTTAATCCGGACTCGTCGGGACTTCGGCGATTCCAGATTATCGATTTTACGGATTATAGATCATCAGTTTAAATCTGGTACGATGCTGCAGAAATTATAAAATTAAAAATATGAAACCGTAATTTATGAAATAAAGAACAATTATGATCTAAAGGGTATTAAAACAGTGGTCTCAAACTTGGGTGCAGGCCAAATGCATGATCTGAAAGCAGCTGATAGGCTGGCATTGTTATAATGGAGCATATGTTTTGTAATGAACATCACTGTCCTCTTTTCTTTAACTGCTTTGTTTAAATCATACATTTGCTGACAGTATTTTTCCAAATTGAGCTTTTTGTTAGGTTTCAAAAGCTTGCAGTGTATTGGACCTTGGGTGTTCCATCGTACATACAGTATTCTCTTATTAAAGCTCAAGCTCGGTTTAGAAGTGGAGATGGCAAGTTGTCCAAGTTCACAGTATGCTCTTTTCTTAATGATATTTTCTTAGGTAATCCACTATCATACAGTCCAATAAGGATACATTTTTGTCCCAAGGAAGCAGAGAAGTGCATGTGACAACTTAATCATGCAAATGTTTTTCATTTAACTCATGAGGAGCCCATTTAGAATATTTATAAACCAATCCTAGTTTACAAATATGATCTGATATGGTTTGTTGAGCTAAGCTCATCTGCAATCTCCAGTATCGCCAAAAAAGGATCTTTCTCTTTTATGGTCTTGATTACACAATAATCAGTTGAAGACAGTACCCAAAGCTTGGCTTATCATTAAGGTTGAAATCACCTGCTCTAATCATCTCCTTGATGTTCTATCCAAAACTGCACTTCCAAAGACTTTCATTAAGTTTCAACACACTTCTGTACCATTCCTTCCTTGTTAAAATTTGTACAAAATACAGTATAATGAATGGACTTTATTGGTGATCATATTTACACGATTACATCTCAATAATGATATGAGACACTTCTTTTTCCAGTTCATATAGAAGAACATGTGCATAAATACAATGATAAACAGAGACAGTCATATGCCTCAAATTAACATGTGCATGCATGTTGAAACTTGAAATAACACTATCAGTCTGACAGACCTTGTGTGCGTGCGTGCATGCATAGCCTAAACCTAAAAGATATATATTTAGGAAAACATGATACACAGCAATTATAATAACCATATAAGGTATATTTTAATTTTATAAGAGTAATTTTTAATTTTGAAAACCTTACTTTTCAATTCTTATTTCCCACTTACCACCAGAATGAGTTTTTAGTATCGTGTTTTTATGTAAATGAGTTAGAAAAGTACTTAAGGGATGTTCAACTTACTTTGAGAGAGTGCTTAGAGTACTTTAGTGGCGCGCGTTTGTCTTCTGGCTACTTCATTCCTGAAATTACAATGCTCGGCCGTATTGTATGTGCCTGTTGAGATACGCCAGCTAGGTTAATTTAAGGGCCAACTACATTAGGTATTTGTGTTTAGCTTCAGCTAAAGTATTTATTTTAGCATTTGATTAGTTTCTTATCCTGATTTAAAATTTTAAGTGAAGGCTTTCCTACAAGCTTGAGAAGGAGCCATCTGTTATTATTTCTTTGAGTGAATAAAAAGGTATTTTAACCCTTCTCAAGTCTCTGTAGCAACTACTTGAACTCAGCAATAATTTGCTACTTAGTTCACTAGGTTCCTCGATATTATATTTAGACAAAGTATTCGGGAACATTATAACCCAAAAGGGAAGTTTTCAAATTTCTATTTAATTTTTATCTGAAATCTAAATTTTGATGTTTGCTAGAATTTTCTCTTAGTTGTGCTATGCATTCAAATGTATTAACAGCTAAGTTTTAAGTTTTTGAATTAGGGCTAAACATCACAATAAATAATAACAACCTTCTTTCTTTTATTTATTAAATCTATCTTCAACACATGGAGGAATACTTGTACATGAACAATTATATACTTTTTTTCCTAACTATAATTTGAAACTTTATGATATTTCGACACTAGTAAACTTTGGAGCTTTGAAAAAAAATTACTAGAAACTGTCTTCATCACAGATGGTAGATGCTCATCGGTCAATGGAGCTCTTTTATCAGACATATTAATTTTCAACTGCGAAAAACACTATTCACATCCCAAAGAAAGCAATTACACTCAAACCTGTTTTTGTGCGGTGAATAGGAACCTCATAAAAGAAACCACATTAAAAAAAAAAAAAAAAATTGCCCAAAACTTCACAAGTAGCTATAAAAAATAGTTTTTACAACACAATAAAAACAGTTTTTTTATACGGTGAATAGGGAACACATAAAATTCCCACAGAAAGCTTTATGCAACAATATGTCAGAAGGTTTTAATGCCTGAACCACCTGAAAAGTGTATGGCCAGAATTGTAAACATTTCTGTAACACACGCCACACTGTTACATAAGGCACAATGAGTTCTGAACTTGCACAACGCATTGATTTTGTGAGACTTCATAAAAATGTTTCATGAATTTTTGTAGCCACTTTGGTTTGGACTGCTGTTCACCCACAAGCAGCCCATGACCTGAAATTGCTTCCCCCATCAGTTGATATTGTGACGATGTGGTGATTCTTTACCAAATTCCATGCAAAAATTTCTTTGAATGACGATAAACAATATTTTGGTATACTTCAGAACACAATATGCTTTCTCCTGCACAGATGGCATCATTTTGATTAACACTGCCTCTAGAGATGATTTCATAACCAGAAGATTATTTGCCATTGCCAGATAAAATTTGTATAATTTTAGTTTCAGAATTAATAAGTTTTGACTTAATAAATCAATTACAAAATTTGTACTAAGCTGTTCTTTTTGTCCCATTCGATATGAAACACCTTGCTTATCTAACTGAAATAAATTAAAATACATTTAATGTACATATATTGATCTGAAATTTTTTAATAATATTTGACGCTTTGTTGTAGTTAATGAATGGTGTTTCTAATCTATAGCTAATACAAAATTTTTCTTTTAGATTTTTTTTTAAACTGTGATGTTTAATATTTAACTTTGTTTTGTGATAGTAGATTATTAACTTGAAGTCTTCAGATTGCAGGTTTTTTTGGTTTAAGAATTTTTGTTTAACCTCAGTCATCTGCCTGCTGCTTAAATTTAAAGAAAAATTAAAAGGAAAAAAAATCAAAAGAAAAAACGCTACCTGGGCAGTTACTCTCATCACTCCTATCTGAGCAGTCTGGTCTACCATCACATCGCCTCCTTTCCTCAACACATCTCAGACCATCACACTGAAACTCACCAGGAAGGCACTCAGAAATACCTTAAAATTACAAAATGCCTAATCATAACTGCAACTTTCATTTTTATTGACGATTTTAGTCTGCTGCAATTTTTTCTCTCCTCAAAAATTAAAACTCTGAATATAAAAATGTATGCAATCAAAATCACTCTATGCTTTACAGTTTTATTTTTAAATTATTTTCAGTGTTTAGTAACACTGAGACTGTTGACTAGAAAAGCTTCAGGCATTAAAAAAAAGTGACAAAACATTTAACGTAATTTTAGTTGCATTAAAATTTTCATTGAAGTATGTTTTGACCAGAAACACAAATTTCTGAAAGTTAAACAGTTTATGCATTAAGTTGATGTTAATATTGTATAGCTAGCTTATATAAGAAATCAAAGAATAGATTAAACAATATTGTTTTTGCAAATTTTTAGAAACAACTAAATGAAAAGTCTAATTTTATAATTCAGCAAATAATGCAAAAAATTGTCTAATCATTTAATTTAATAATAAATTCCAAACATTTTTCTATTACAATTCTCCTCCTCCAAATTGCTACTATGTTAATACAAATGATTTAAGCAGCTTGTTTATTTTCAAACATAATATACAATTGCTGATTTTGAAATTTTTCAGAAATCAAAATTGTATGCTATGAGTAAAGTTTTTTCAAATATATACAAAAAATAGAATGCAAAACTATTTACCATGCTGATGCTCTATAAAATTTCTTATTTTAGTATATGCATTGAATTTAAAGAACACTTCTCTGATTTATTAAAATTTTAAATGAATATATGCAACGACTGCACAGACTGAATCACGTATGAAATTATTCTCTTAAATTCTTAGAATTAAAAATGTAATTATTTTGAACAAATGATCTCCCATTGGTTTTGGATATTTATAAATATAAAAAAACTACTGAAAAAAATGTTGAATAATAACAGCATGGTTAAATATACACATATTCTGTAGATTGATTAATCTTTTGATGCAACTGAATCTTTTTTATGACTATGTAAATATAAAAGATAAATATCTATTTTATTACCCATTAATGAGCTACCTTATTTAACACTTGAGATAAAGATGACTTATAGGCAAAAATCTCAAAAAAAAAAAAAAAAAATATGACTATTTTTGCATATAAAATTTCCTGTGTTGTAAAAATATTTGCTTAAAAATTCTTAAATTTTTTTATTTTTACTCTACCTGATAAACATTTTGCATGGTATGACTGTCTTTAATATATACCAAATGGCAATCTCATGGTGAATAAATTATTAGTCAAAATACTTTTTCATTAAACGATCTAAACATTATTTTAATGGATGAAAGTTTATGAAAACAGGGATTAAATAATTGATTATATGAATTTCCTAATAAATGCTCTTTATGTACATTTCTTCATACACAGATCCAAAAAGCTGTGCCCCTCAGAGGGTACTTGATATGGAATTATAAAGAAAACAATAAAGGAAAAGGAACCCAAAAAGACAGATTGATAAATCATCTGGCCTCAAAATAGGAAACAGCCCTTTAAGAGCCCGATAAGGAACAACTTAATTTACAGATGGAAAATATATGTTCATTAATTATCACATAAATTCATTCAAATTCAAATAAATGAAATAAGTTAAATGCAGTGTACCATTCATAACAAGCCAAATTATGATTTTTCTTGTAAATTGTCTATATAAGTATTTCTTATATACATATATAAACTATGCATTTTGATTGACCCTTCCATGAGCTTGAAATATGCGATATAATATATGAAAAAAAATCTGATTGCAGATATGCTTCAGTTTGTAGTTAAGAAAATAAATGAAATAAAGAAACAAATTTTACAGCCAAAATAAGGTACCTTTCCGACAAAAAATTTAGACCTGTCAAATACTGAACTTCTAATCAGATATTCTTAAGCCTTCTCATCAGTACAGAGAAAAGCATGAATCATTTTGTTATTGTAGCATTTTGACTTACCAAAAGTTACTAAATGTCTGATAAATAGAAGTTAAACAATTTTGCTAATCTGCAGTAGACTTTTTTAAATGGGTAAAATTAAACTATTTTATGATATTAAGATAAGGTACATATGGGCTATACATAAAGTAATGGCAATAGTTTTAGAAAAAGAGCCTGCTGTATTAGATGAGTGAACGTTGGTGCACAGACTGCCAAATGCACTCTGTTATCGACAAGCAGCTGCAGCTATGCAAGGCTAAAGTAAATGAAACGATATATATGGTTCCAAAGCATGCCTATGAAACAAGAACATCTCTAGTTCAAAATTCTACAGCCCTATGATAAAAATGTATGGGATTATCAGCAAGCCTGTACTAGCATACATTACATATCAAATGTCTACAAAATTAGTCGGTAAGTTTCTTTTGAATTTGGATGAATTCACTTATTTGGCATAAACATTCTTCATAAGCAGGCAGAACAAGTGGACGGTTCCTCTTGAAATGTCTGTCTACTGAGCAACGGAGGATTTATGAAATGGATTCCATATAATAAAACAGAAAATATCTTTGCTATTCTCAAAATATAATAATAAGTATGTTTTGGGATCTTCTAACATGGAGAAACTCTCACAACTGAAATTTGAATGTCCTTATTCATTTTCCTTTGTGCTAGGATATCAATTACCTATAGAAGCTGGATGCAGTTATCAAACTGTGTGGCTCATCATAATTTCATGTATTTTTCAGTCAGTGCTCCATGTGGTAGTGCGTTTGATTACTGCAATCAACAGAAATAATTTCTTTCATGGCATTCAAGAGTTCCCACAAATTTGACAAAAGATACTAGATCTTGCTGATTAATTACATTAATGGGATGCAATGAAATTTTACATTCAAGTTCAGTAAAAAATAAGGCTACCATAAAAGACTCATTCATTTTCAAAATGCTGTATATTCAAAAGTTATACATGTACAAATACGAGTGTTCTGTGAGAAAACTGGTTGAAGTTACAGCAGTTTCTGGAAGTGGCTCCTGATTCCATGGATTTTGTCATCCGACAGGATGCCCCCCCCTTTTTCATTCAAGTTCGTCAATACCTGAATGATGAACTTACGTATTGGTGGATCGGACATATTGGTAATGATAACCTTGCTTTGTTCCCTAGTCCCCCAAAGTCCCCTGATTTAATGCCCTGTGACTTTTTCTAAAGGCACATTAAGGACCATGTTTATGTACCGCCACAACAAAAAACATTAGAAGAACTCACGGAATGGAGCAGTGCTCCATAGACAGAATGGCACTATAAAATGTGAACAGCAAGTTCAATTGCCCCCTGGATATGAGTCATGTGACTCAGAGAGTATACACAGAACATACCTACAGTGTGCAGAATATTTGTTGAGTTTGCAGTTATTTTCATATAGCACTCATATTTGTATGTTTAATATTTCTGAATACATAGCATTTTGAAAATGAATAAATCTTTTATAGTAGCCTTGTATCTACACTACGCATGTTACAATTGCTTAATTTACATCCCTTAAATTAATATACATTTAGCTTAGTATAATCTTCAAATTATGATGGATTTATCAGAAATTCACCATTTAATGGAAGCATTAATATTCTTAGACAAAATATCCTGTAAACATTGTGACAAAACACAAGATGAATGTAAAAGAGCAAATAAAATAAGGAATATCTTTTCACTAATGTTGAGTGAAGACAACATACCCCCACAAGTTACTTCATCTTCTCCATACGTACAATCTTCTACACCATCACACACACGAATAGAATCAATACAAGTTCCATCAAGGCAAATCATTTGATCATCACTTCGGCAGCCCTGAACGCTTTGCAGAGTTTTTGCTCGTACAGCTGTAAGATCAAGCATGCACAATAGCATAGCTAATACATGCAGTAATCATAATAGGCTATTTCCTATTGGTAGAACCTGGCACGAAACAAAGACACGCACCGAGGACACAACAAAGCCACAAAACAGTCATAACAGACAAGGTTAGGTTTTCTCACAGAAAAAAGGAAGTTTATTTGTATGCAAACAAACAAGACAAAAGACTACATGATTTCAATGGATAACTTGAGAGCTGTAAGCATAACTAAACTAAATTTTTAACAGCAAAATTAAAAAACAATTCAATAATCCTCTGTAAAAAAGAAATGTTTAAACATTAAAATAAAATTAAATGTATTTGATGGAGAATGCTTTTAAATAAAAGCTGTTAATATTTAATATTTTATCTTTTAATTTACAGAAAATTTAGTTTTTCTTTTTATCTACATATGTCAAACAATTTATTTTCCTCAAAATATATTCCATTAAAGGGAATAATTATTTGACTGCTCGCACTAAATTTAGGTTATGGCATGGCTCACATTAGTAAATAATGGATTGCACAAATAAATAAAGACATTAGATTCAATGCCCACAAAAGCTGCTGGATGAGCAAATTCAGCCCCACACCTTTTTTTAACAGTGGGATAAGAAAATTCCAAATACTTACTGATCTATGGAAATTGCAAGATGAGCAGTGAGCAGTCAGATGGTTAAATTTAAATTTTTAATATCACACTGATATCAAAAACAGTGGCTTATACAACCAGTGTTTTTTTTGGGGGGGGTGCCCGAAATGGAGATACTTGCCTACTTTTTGTAATTTTCTGCATATTTGTGGATTGCTTTATGAATACCCTAAGCATAAATAGTAATAATATTTTAATACAAATCTGTTAAAAATTAATATTTAGCATTTATGCAAATAGATAACGTTAAAACACATTGATACATTTATTCCTATACAATGGACAGCATCCCACCAATAGCCTTAATTGACCCTATTTTCTAAAAAATCTATATATAAGTTCCTTTCTTATAAAAACTTGACTGCCCAGTGGTGTAAAGGCTAGCACTGCACCACAGGTCTGTGGTTCGATCCCCAGGCTGGACAAGGTTGACTCAGCCTTTCATCCCTTGAATGAGTTGATAAAATGAGTACCAAGTTCACTTGGGGACTAAACACCGGGGGTCCTGCGACAAGCAACCCAGAGCATATGCTGATGCACTCTGGGGCCCAAGGTCAAGAAAGCAGATTCCAGGGCACTGCAGCCCACTAAGGCTGTTGCACCACTGAGTTTAGTTTCTTATGAAACTTAATTACATGAAGCACATAACTCAAACTTCAAATATGATTTTTTATTGACTGACCATTCTGTAGATTTGCAGCAAAAGTTAAAACTGCCTTCTCTTTTTTTCCCAAAAAGTAATGACAAAGATTTTCGTAAAATTCTGGAAAATTTACTAAACTAATTCATATTCTATTCCTATTATACACAAAATAAAAAATATTACTTACGACAACCAAGCTCATCAGACCCATCACGACAATCTTCACGACCATCACACCTTTTAGCTGCATTTACACATTCAAAAGATGTGCAATATATTTCATCAGGTGCACAGGTCTGAGGTATACCTTGATCTGTAGCAGCTTCAAGAGAAATGGAAAATGTGCTTTTATACCTCTAGTAAAGTTCAAACAATTAATAATAAAAATTTAATTAAGGGCATATGAGAGTAAAATTTAATATAACAGTTTTTTAATCCCTTATTCTCCAGAGAAAATTTTAAATTCCAGAAAACCTTTAATTAAAGGAAAATATTACCTCCAAATGACCTAACAGAAAAACCTTCAGGAGACAATTTATATTTTCCTAAGGAGCCAGACTGAATAACTTGTTTTATCACATCTTCTATACTTTCTCTGTCATTACTACCCAGAGAACCAACATCAAGTGTGACTAGAACATATTCTTTGCTGGAATGTGGAAGAGGGCTGAAACAGAAAATTGTATAATTATAAATTTACAGTTATATGGCTTGCTTTACAATTTTATGCTTAATGCTCTACAGTTTCTAAGAAGAGCATAAATGTATTTTAAATGTATGTAGTTCATTATAACTGTACAGCATTCAAAGATCAATTCAAAGGCGATAGCTGTGCCATAATGCAATAGATTTGAATGCTGTGCCATAATGCAATGACAGCCTTACAAAGATTGCCTCTGAAAAGCATTTTCTAAGTGAACTGACTGATATTCATATTATACACAGGATAAATCATGATGTCAAATTGAATTGGCATTCAAATATAGGATGAATTACCAGTATTCAATGGCTTCTCAAACACTGGTAAGCCAAAAAAAAAAAGAAAGAAAGAAAAAGAACAGAGGACGAGCATAATGGACCTCTTGTGATGACTAGTTCCTTTGAACAAACATTTGAAAGTAACCAATGTTTCTGAGAATGTACATAAGCACGTCAATTTGCATTTAAACATCTGTTAAGCATTTTTTGAAGTCCCCCAAGATTTTATAAAAGTAATATATTATTAAAACAAATGGTTTTTGCTGCTTTGTTGCTTATTTTTGATTGCTTGGTTTAATGTTGTTGATCTTCCTTTACTCTTGATATGTTAATGTGGATTTTATCTGCTTGCTTAATTTTATCTAGTGTTGGATGGAAAAAAAAATAACATCAGTCAAATGATGTGAGAAAAATGTAATATATGTTAAAACAAATGATTGGAATTAAATTGAAGAAACCAATAAAATTGAATAACCAAAATGAAGAAATCAATAAAATTGTTAAAACTGATAAACTTCTTTTGTACATAAGAAAAACAATGCCAGATTGGATCTTACCTAACATGGGATAATCAAGGACATGTGGCACAAAACAGAAGTGTATTTCTGACTGAAATTCCTCATATAGATGCCAAATATGTCATAAATATTTTGTCAAATATTTCATTTGGAGCTCTATCTCCTGAATTTAACTGACAGAAGTACAAGAGCTGTGAAAATTATTTATGGCAGTTACAGAATTATTGCCATTAAAATTCTGATTAGATTTCACACTTTTGACAAACTGGCTGCTCCAAAGATATTCAAGTACCTTTTGCAGAAAAAGCCAGTAGAATTTTATATTTTTAACTTGTTTACAAGCATTACATTAAGTGTTGCTCATTATAATCATGTCTGTCCACATTTATTTTGATAAAAATAAATGATAACCAAAAATATGCTTCAAAACAGCAAAGGAATTTAATATAAAAATATAAGGAACATATCACCAGGCATTTTGATTATGAAATGTTCATAACATTTCTGGAAATTACATGACCAATGCTATATCCCTAATTTTTATATTCGGACTGCATCCTTCAATGGAACAAAACATGGCAATGTAAAATTTTAAATTAAGCAACCTTAGTTTGTTATATATGCTTTCAGGAAACATTTTGCTTTTAAGGGGGGGGAAGAATACTGCAGAATTCCTTTTGCTCTTGAAGAAGAAAGATTTGCATTTGATTGTCTTCAAGATTAACAGAATTAATCAAAATACAGGTCAAAGTAAGGTTCCATGTTTGCCTAATTTAAATGGTTGACTGAAACCAAAACCAAACTTTTTGGCGACTTAACCCCTCACTTGGCGACATTTTTGTGTCACTTGGCAATTTTTTTTAATTATTTATTTTTGACTTTATCTGTTTTTTTTTTTTTTTTTTTTTTTTTTTTTTAATTATTCTGTAACAGTTTGATTATATTAACCAAGCTGTTGATCACAATAAATGACGCATTTTCCACGTTTCCGTATATAAAAATCAGGACTTCGGCAAATTGCTAACAATATCCGAATGATAACATTAACCACGATTACGTAATGCAATAAATATTTCTGCTTTAAATTTTTTAGATCATTCGGATATATGTAACGAATTGCCAAAGTCTCAACCATTTACACATGAAAACGGGAAAAATACACTGCTTATTGTGATCAAAAAGTCAGTTAATGGTATCAAAATACTATAGCATGAAATTGTTTAACTGAAGTAAAGTCAGCAAATGACAGATAAAATTTTCAAATAAAGTAAAGAATTTGCCAAATACCAAAGACTTGTCATGAGAAAAGGTATTAAGTTGCCACTAATCTTGATTTTGATTAATGACAATTACATCCTAAGGAATTCATTTTCGAAGTTTTAGGAAGATCGGCCAAACATTGCATTTTTGTGAAAAAATTATTGACTCGCTGCCTTTGAGCTTTACATTTACATGAATGTTTTATTCTGGGACACAGTCTTTTTTTTTTTTTTTTTTTTTTTTTTTTTTTTTTTTTTTTCCCCTCATTCTACTTTGTAATTTTTATCATAGTTTAGCAGAAAGCATAATGATTTAAGGAATAAAACTGACTTGTTAAAACTTATGACCAATTTCAAAAGTGAATCTACAGAATGCTGCTCTTAAGTTAAGTTATCATAAAATACTATCTGTGCTAAAAACAAAAAGCAATTAATTAAGTACAAATAAACCAGGCAGCATATTAAGATCAAGCAACGCAACCATTTTATTAGCGTATGCTACAGTCGGCTTAAGAAAAAACTAGAGAGAGTAAAAACATGAGTTGAGTAGTAGCATGTCTGATACAGAGTTGAGTAGTAGCTTGTCTGATACAGAGTTGTTACTATAATACTTCCTTCACAAGCTACAACTTATTTAAGATTAAGTTAGCATTCATTAACAAGACTATTAAATGAAAACAGTCCTAACAAGATACACAGTTCTTTGAACCTAACACTAGGCAATGATTTAATCATGATGTCTGCTAATTGCATTTTACTAGGAACATGCTTGATGAATAGTTCACCATCAATAAATTTTTCTCGCACAAAGTGATAATGGACATCTATGTGCTTGGACCGTTTATGGTATTCAGGATTCTTGGCAAGTTTCACAGCACTAGCATTATCTACCAGAAGAGAGGGAGTTTCGATATTTGTTATATCGCTGAGCAGATGTTTCAGCCAAATTAGTTCTTCAGCACTCTCACTCGCAGCAACATATTCGGCCTCTGTAGTAGATAAAACCACACTCTTCTGCTTTTGGCTCATCCACGAGAAGGCTCCACATGAAAATTTATAGAGACCATTCCAGTTCTTGAGAGTCTTGTTTTTAAATCACCTGCATAATCAGCATCACTGTATACTTCGACCGCCTGGTGATAAGGGACTTCTTGCCCTATCAATTTATTTTCTGTGTCATCAAAAACAAAGCTTTTGTCACTTGGAGTTCATATTGGCGGAGTCCATATGAAATTTTGAGAGAACTTTTTTTAAATAGGCACACTGATTCACAAAAATTGAACCATCATTCAATCTTGTTATGTTCATACCTAGAAATTGATTTAATGAACCCCTCGTGATCTGAAAAGCATGACCAAGTTGACTCATAAACTCCTCCACTTCAACTTTGTCCCAGCAGCAAGGCCATCATCTACATAGATAACAACAAGGAGTTTCTTGTCAGTTCTGTGTCTGATAAACAAGCGGGGATCAGCTGTACTAACTTCCGGCACCTGGTCTTTCATAAAATTCACAAAACACTGATTCCAGCAACGGGGTGCTTGTTTGAGTCCATATAAACTTTTGTGCAATTTACAGACTCTCCCACTATTATCATTGAAGCCTTCTGGTTGTGTCATGAACACTTTCCTCCTTAAGGGTTCCATACAAGAATGCAGTCTTTACATCAAACTGCTGCAAGTACAAATTTTCTTTTGCCGCCACAGCAAGGAACAGCTCTCACAGTGTCATATCTTGCAACAGGGCTGAATGTCTCGTCGTAATCAAAAGCCTGCTTTTTTGGGCATAACCCTTGGTTACAAGACGAGCTTTGTGTCGCTCCACAGTACCATCTGGATTAAATTTCTTCCTCAGCACCCATCGACAGTTGATAACTTTTGGAACCAAAGTTGGGTCTCTCAACAAGTTCCCATGTTTCATTTTCATGAAGGGCTTTTATTTCTTCTTTCATGGCTTCTAGCCACAAGTCACTTTCACTTGACGAAAGAGCTTCAAAATATGTGGATGGATTTTCACTGTTTTCAAATTCTTCTACTGCAGCTATGTTTGCCATCAGATATTCTCCAGATTTCATCCATGCAGGAGGGCTTCGGTTTCTTTCAGATTTTCTAACAGGCTTTTGTTCTTCAGATGAATTACGTTTTTCACTCCGAGTTTCTTCATACCTTTTATTTAAGTCATCAACCACCTCCACTGTCACAGGAGTGGTGCACAAACGTTCTGGTTTGAAGTCAACATCTCAAGATCGCATTATTTTCTTCTGAGAGGGCAGATAGATCTTATAACCATCTTTCTTGTTTACATACCCCATAAAATGACCACGAACACTTTTGTCATCAAATTTACGTCTGAAGATCTTTGGTATATAAACATAGCATTCGGTTCCAAATACTTTCAGGTGGTCAAGTTTATTTTTTGGCTCACCAGACCAAAGCTCATGAGGACTCTTACTTTTGTCTGGGGATAAACCAGTGTGATTTAGCAGATACGCTGCGGTTTCACATGCGTTGGCCCAAAGTGACCGAGGCAATGCACTTGTTGCAAGCATAGAACGTGCCAGTTCAACAATTGTTCGGTTTTCCCTCTGTGCTGCGCCATTCTGCTCTGGTGAGTATGGTACACTGAGAGTTAGTGCTACACCTTTTTCAGCAAATATCTTTTAAACTTCACCACAGACAAATTCTCCTCCTCCATCACAACGGAAATGTTTCACAACATGGCCAAGATTAGCGGCTTCATTGAGAAACGTACGTACACAACAACTAACGTCACTTTTCTTTTTCAAAAAGAAGATTTTACGATATTTGCTATAGTCATCTTTAAACAAACATAATATCTTGCACCACTAAAGGAGCCCACAGACATAGGGCCATTGACATCAGCATTAATGATTTCACCAGTTGACATCGCTC